TGTCCAGCTAATCATATGACTAGAATACGGTTCAGAGATAACAAACATGCTTATCAAAGCCACCCAAACAAATCACAACCTATAAAACTACAATGATTTTCTGGATTCTGATAGTTTTAAATAAGCAAATGCACCTAAACTATATCAATCCTTGTTAGAATTAGAAATATTTTTCAATGCTATTGCAAAAATCCCCGTCTGAATACATAAGAACTCATTTTCAATTTTGAAAGAGCAACATAGGATTAGTTCTCATAAATTATTAACACGATTTATAATATATCTACCTCTATATTTTGGGCATTTCTTTAACTTATTTTCCCAAACAAATGGACATGAAATAGTCTTAACTTACACTTTTTTTCAAAGAGATACTTACAATATGATACTCCTTCAACCTTCTTGACAGTTTTCCTATCTTCACCAAGCCATTAAAATTTTCTGCAGAGGTACAACATAAGAATAACCTTAATTATTACAGATATCATTTTATTCATAGACGAACAAAGTTTTATAAGTCCAAACAATAATAAGTGGAAAGCATCAGTTTTAAACCGTGTCAAGTTTCAGAACCTCAAAGTCCAGTTTTGTCTGATGGAGCATGATACCTGAGTTGTAACAATTTTCAAGATCACAAATGTGAAGACAAAAACTTACAAAGACAAAGTGATTGGCTAATATCTAATACTTCCTTCAATTTGAGAAGCTCAAAGTCCTTGAAAGAATACAATGAGATCACTTAACTATTAAAAATAGAATTTAGCCACGATCTACTTAACATACCATAAAGGAGAAAATCACAACTGAGTTATAAATTAGTCTTCACTTAACATTTATCTGACGTTTTTAATCTATCCCAAAAAATACAGAAGCCTTGAAATTTTCTCAGTATGTCTGTAAACCTGAAACTGCCTAAAAATTATCACCCTTTTTAATTTTTAATTTTACTGTTTCTATTTTATGTGTATGAGTATACTGCCTACATGAATGTAAGTGTACCTGTGTCATGCAATGCCAGCCAGAGGTCAGAAGAGGGTGTCAGACCCTCTGAACTGGAGTCAAGGATTGTTGTTAGCCACCATGTGGGTACTAGTAATCAAACCCAAGTCCTCTACAAGAACAGCCAGTGCTCTTAACCACTGAGCCATCTCTCCAGCCCCAAAATTGTCTTCTTTGATATATTCTTCATTTAGTAAACAGTAAAGTCATAAGCTGTCTTAGAATAAGTACTAAACAGTTAAGTATAGTCATAAAAATGTTTTTAAAACTCTTCTATCAAAAATTGTTCAAATGAGAACGGTAACAGTTATATTTAAAAATTGGCCTTTAACTAGTCAAGTCAGGCACACCTGGTACTGCACGACTTTAATCCTAGCACTGAGAAGATGGGGCTCTCTGAGAGATCCAGGTCTATGTTAGGGAGTTCCAGGCCTCCAGGCCAACTGGAGCTACAGAGTGTGACTCTCTCCTGTCTCAAAAAACAAAAACAAAACAACGAAGAAAAAAAAAAAAAAAAACCCACAATGGAAGAAAGGGGAGAAAAATATATTTCTTCCATTTAATGTCCAGAAGCGGTTAATCAAAGGCTGATTTGGGACCTCAAAGCATCTGTAGTCCAGGTTCCTTCCATCTTCTTTTCTCTACCATATATTTATTGATTTTATTCCAAGTCACCTTATAGTCTAAGAATGCTGTGGGAATTCCAATCACTATCGCCACATAGCAGCAGGAAGCACAGAAAGGGAGAATTAAGTCCCTTCCAATTCCCTTCTAAATCTGACACTGTATTCCAGCTTGCATCATATAAATTACAATTGTATCTGGTAAGTTACAAGGGGCATACTAAAATGGAGGTTAAATCCTTTAAGTAAAGTAGTATTTTAAAGATTTTCATACAAAGGATCATTTGAAATTAATAAAAATCAAAATACAAATGTTGATCTACCAAATACAATTTAAATTAAAAGGATTATCTCAGAATAGAATGGGATTTGGTCAGTATTACTCAAGAATTTTACTATTAATTAGTACACTCATCATGGAAACCGGAATAGAGGTTTCTCAAAAAATTAAACACAGAACTCCTATATGATCCAGCAAATCCACTATGAGGTACACACCCCAAAGAAAAGAGTCGTATGTCAGAGAACACTTTGATGTTCTCAGTATTCACCAGAGCAAAGAAATGGAAGTAACTTACATATGGAGGAACTAATGAATGGATAAAGATGTGGTATGGCCAAAATTCCATCATGGATTAGATGGGGGAGGGGTGACTCAACACCCCTAGGTAAGGAGCTATAGGCAACTGATGGTTGAGGGGGAGGGAGAAGAATCTGTTTTCTCCAGAGATAAGGCCCCTGATAGACTACCCATGCTACAAGTGAATAGCCTACACCTATACAAACCAGTAGCACTAAATGGACAGAGAGGGTTTAAAAATTCTCAAACTTCTGCCCTCTGCTTCCCTGGGCTTGCACGACCCACAGGCCTCATTCCAAGGTAAGTCAATCGTGCCCTGTGTACCTTGACTCCCCGAGCCTCATTCACCCTCCTATTTCCCTCCTAGTCTGCGACCTGTCTCGTTCCTTGTCTTGGCACCCCAGACACAAGGGGAACCACTACTGCTTCCTGATCCTTTGCATCCACACCAACTCAGTACCTTCTGGGGTCCCCAGGAGCCCTCTGGGCCTGGTCCCGCCCTCACCTCCCTCTGCTTCCCTGGGCTGGACAATCCGCCAGCCTCTTTCCTGGATGCTAGGGCTGATCTTTCGCCTTCCTGATCCTTTTCATCCAGACCAACCCAGCTCCTCAGTGCAGGCCCAGGAGCCCTTAGGGCCACTTGCCGCCCTCATCTCCCTTTGCATATGTGGGTGGCATGGCCACCAGCTGCCCCAGACCAGCATCTTTCCTGGGCCAGGCTCCCAGGCTAGTCCAACCCTCAAATTCTAGAGGCGAAAATCTTTCCTGGAGAAAGCCTTAGGAGAAAGCCTGAGAGCATCTGATCCTCATCTGACTTGGGCCGCTGTGGGAACTCCTGAAGACAAAAGCAATCTGGCCACTCCATTATAAAATCAAAACAGAGAACCAAAAACAAACAAACAAACAAAAAAAAAAAACCTACAAATGAACCTACCATTTTATCTAGTTATACCACTCCTTGGCATATACCCAAAGAACTCACCCTATTGCAGAGGCACTTGTGCATCCATGCTTTTGCTGCTCTTTTCAGAATAGCTAAGAGATAGAAGTAACCAAAGTGTCCCTCAATTGATGAGTGGATAATGAAAATGTGGTTCATTTATACAATGGAGTTTTACTCAACAGTAAAGAAAGATGAAATCATGAAATTTTCAGGTAAATGGATGGAATTAGAAACTGTTATACTAAGTGAAGTAACAGCGACACAGAAAAAAAATCGACATATGTTCTCCCTCATATGTGGATCCTAGAACCAAACCCTGATAAGTATGTATCAAGACATAACTACAGGAACCAGGATAATGGAAACAGGGAAGTAAAGGAAAGAAAGAACCTGAAAGAGAAGAACAGTAGGAAAGAGGCCTTAATAAGGGAAATATGAGTGGGAGACAGACTTGAGCCTAGGGTGAAAGTCTTATTGACAGCCATACAGCAGGCCTGAGGCAACAGCCCGACCCTTGGAGCCACAAGGAATGCCTTATGACATTTGCGCCCATTGAAAGATCATGAGACTGATGCCTAGAGCTCGCCACTCCCTAATCACCACCCTTGGACTTCCAAAATTGCAACACTTAGATATTGCAACAGTCAGGGTCACCTGGTTTCCAGGAATCCAGGCTCTGAAATCTGAAACCCAGTATGCTAATGAGGCATCCTACCCATTATTCTGTGATAGGACGTTAAGTCTGTTATGCTGGTAAGGTATCCTACTTGCTGTACTGTGATAGGACACTAAACATGTTATGCTAATAAGGTATCCTACCTGCTGTGCTGTGATTGGACCACTACCCCTATCAATTCCATACCTTGGGGCTGGCAGGCTGTCTCCCACCAGGGAAACCTGCCCTTGGATTGTTTTTGTAAATAAAGTTTTATTGGCACAAAGTCACACTCATTTACATACAAAAGTCATTTTCCACAGTAGCAGTTGAGATGGCCTCAAAACACTGTCCAGGATCTCATTAGAAGTGTTTGGGGGCTCAGTGGGATGTCTGTCAGCCCAGAACTCAGGAAGCTGAGGCAGGAGACTTCCTTAGAGTTCAAGGCCAACCTGGGCTACAAAGGCAACCCCCTCAAACAAAAGTGTTGCTGACTCTAGGTTTTATTTCAACAGATATGGATAAAAATTGGGTTAGTTTAAGGGAGGGGTGAGGGAAGGGTATACAAGGAACCGAGGGGATAAAGAGGAAGAAGGAGCTCAAGAGAGGTAGGACCATAGGAGAAGGGTATTATTAAGGGAGAAAGGGGGAAAAAAGGGGCCCCCTAATTGAGGAAACCATGATGGAGGGGTGAGACAATGCGAGAGATAAATAATGCCTAGCTCGTTTTAAAAACCAGAGAGAACCCTATTACTCCAACAACCTACTGACAAATTATACATAGCAGATCAAGAAATATATGTCTAGGTAAGGTTTATCTGAAAACAATTGGTCTTTGCCCAAGATTTATCTACATGACACACAGTAATTAAAAGTATCAGACTAGTGGAACTAACCTTCTTGGATGTTTAACACACATACTTTGCCTATAATAATTTGGTCAGAGGGACATAAAGGACAGTTTTTGCTTCTTGCCCTCCTAGGTCAACTAGTTCCAGGGGACTATGAGCATCCCTCAAAATGTCCTGGAATTGTGGTGGGTCACCTGTCCTCTTGATCAAGGAAGCCAAGGAGACCCCACAAGATGGACTTGAACCAGTGTCCAGTCTACAAAGAAGAGGGTCAACACAGAGGAATCATTTCCTCCAAGCTTTCAAGCTTCCAAGTAAAGCCAGCCACGCTCGAGCAGGACCTTTGACTTACCTTCACATAGGTGGAACTGGTAAAAGAAAGGAGCCAGGATGCCTCCCAAACCCTGTGACCCCTGAGGAACAGATCCTCAAACGACCTTAAGAGTAAAAATAAATTGGTTTATCTGGGCCAACTGTATGGCCTTAAACACACAAAAGGAAAGTATAACCAAAGATTAAAGGGGCTAATATAATTTTTTAAGAGTCCATATGTATAGTTACAGGCTACATAACAAGCAACAATGCCAGATAGGAGATACCTTCTTTTGAGTTGTTGGCCAAGGTGGCCAAAGGGACTCCCAGATAGTAACCTAGCATAAAACTGGGAAAATGCACAGCAGACCTCAATCTTATCTAAAGGAATATTGACAACTGATTGCTGCTAGATGAGGAACAGCTGACCTTCTAAAACAAAGAACTCTAGAGAGGCTGACTAGATTCACCAGATGGA